TTAAGTCGAGGGGTTCATGTACTTTAGTGAGCGGGCAGAAGAAAGGATTTAGCTATTATTGATCCATCGCAGAAAGAAAGTTTAAAATTAGCCTGCGGAATAACTTCTCTTCACCCAACCAAAACAGGTGATTTCCACAGAAAAATCTGCTAAATGAACTTTACGCAGTCTTGCATGATCGTAACGGAGACTGATGGCAGTGATCGAGTCATTGAACTCCTTAGGATATTTTAGGTTCAAAAATATACTTTCAGCCTTTATAGTGCACGATCCAGCGCGAGTGTGCGTTCATGAAGATTCCCCACATGAAAATTCCCCACATTTACTTAAACGATCTGACCACTACCGTCTCTCTCTGAATTCTCTCTGAATTTATTAAGGAGCGGAAACTTGAAGAGGTATTCAAAGGAAATTTGTTTGCGACTAGTTAGATGCTGTTTGAAATGGTAAAATTGCTAAAAACAAGCGGGGCAGTATTTTCTTTTCTTTCATAACATTACCAGAATTTCGAGTAATGTTATCATAGATCATATTTCAAGCCGAACGACTTTTATAATTAAATATTGCAGAGCACTGTACGGTGTTAAAAAATATTCTTAAATATTTAAGCTTTCCGCGAAGATAATCATCCTCCCACGCTCCCAGAAGTTACAAAACAATCATTAAAACGGTTTCGTTTTGAGATTTTCGAAAATAAAATTTCGGGCAAATTTACGTACCCAAAAAAAAACCTCAATACAGACTCATTGACTTATTGTTTATCAGAGCAAAGTAGTACGTGTGGTGTCCCCCAAGGCTCTATTGTTAGTCCTTTGTTATACACATTATATATGATCTTCCTATGCATCTAAATTAACACAGCCTCTGCTTTTTGATGATGACACTAGTATCTTTTATTCTCACTCAGATCCTGATTATTCAGAGTCCGTTCTCAATGATGAAGTATGAAATCTTGACATTTGGATGAAATGCAATAAACTTTCGGTAAATTTTAAGAAAACAAGTTACATTATCTTTAAATCGAGGCAGAAGAAACTTGGTTAATCTTTTTCCCTGTCCTTTGGAAATCAGTCATTGAAACAAGTAAATGAAACAATATTCTTAGGTGTTTATATTGATGAGCATTTAACAAGGAAACCTCACATTAGCTTCGTAGCTAAACAAATCCTTAGTCAGCCGGTATAATATTTAGGGCTAGATACTATATTTCATCTAATACCAAGCTTACTTACCAAGCTTAATTTACCCATTAATAATATACATGGAAAAATTACTCAGTTCTGATTGGTTAAGATAAATGCAGTTTTCAGGTAATTCAGTGCAGAAGAGAGTTAATTCAGTGCAGAAGAGGGTTAATTCAGTGCAAAGAAAGAAACAAATCAGACAGTCTGATTGGTCAATAATCAAAGAAACTCACATATAGCCAATCAAATGCGAGCCTTGGATGTCGCAACAAAATTTGAAAATTTGCGAGCGAAACAATGGCCGGCGTTTTAAGTAGGTTTTCTTTCGCCACCGCAGCTGAAAAACAGCTTAAACAATGAAAACACTGTAAAAGGCGCTGCTTTTTGGTTGTCGGTTTGGAAAAAGTGGTGTTTAGAGAAGGGAATTGCCAAGGAAATCGAAAATTAAGAGCTGACCCGGCTTAACACTTTGCTCGAGCGATCCAAAGCCGAAATTAAAAACAAACATGGTTAAACCTCGGAAACGACGATTCCATTTCATCAAAAGTGATTCGGACACAGACTGAACAATTCCTTGAACTGTTTAGCCAGACTTATTATTATTGTTTTGATCGTACGCGGTTGTTTTGACCGAACGCATGGTTTGAATAAATTATTTATTGCACTTGATGCGCGCGCTTTGCTCATGTTTAATTATGATAGACCATCTCGTATTTTTCCATGTTTAACAAATAGAGAAGCCTTGACTGTGCTCTGTTCTGTTATAAAGCACGCAGGAAGCGGCTAGAGCACGAAAGAAGTGTAGGGTGAAACACGAGACGTAGTCGAGTGTTTCTCCCCACTTCTTGATAAGGTAGAAAACAAACTGTTCAAGGCGAGTGTTTTTTAAATGAACGACAGCCGAATTCACCGGAAAATGAAGATCGCTCGGGATGACAGCGCCGCAAAACTCAGCTGCAGTGACTGAAGTGACTTTCTACTCAACGTATCGGAAAGAATATCACAGGAAGCTCTAATTTTTTCACTCGAAGGGCGGCCGATGTAGTTTCTGAGGTTTGCTTTACTGAAATGACCGGGGATCGCCACGCTAAGCGAGCCGCGATAGACTTCAGCATGATCATATTTGCTCAGACACCGTCATGATTAGTATGAATTTTAACAGTTATGTCAGTTATATTTTTCATAATTTCTGTTTTGTTCTGTTTTGTTTTTGAACTCTGAACTTTATATACTATACGAGTGTTAGTTGTGTTTGATTTTTATTACCGTACGTAAGCTTGCAATCTAACTGAGCGTGAAAATCTTTAAAACTCGGAATGTCTACTCTGTTTTTCCTTTGAGGATTTTCGTATCTGCTCACGTTTTAATGACGTAAATTACGGCGCCTGATATGTTTACAAACCTTTATTTGGTTCTTCTGTTGCTACTTGCCGGCTCGCTTGTTCCGAAATTTCACTTTCAATTATCGGAAAAAAGCTAAAAAGAAGTCCCGGAAAAGGTCGAACATAGTACAATTTGGCAGATGGCGTGACAGCTTTAGCTCAGTTCTATGCTCTATACTCTCATAGAGCACGCTCTTTCAACCAATGACAGCGCGCGTTATATCCGAACTTTATTATAAATATTATTAACAGGTAATCACATGATTTTTCTCGTGCAATTTGGAATAAACACGCACTTGTTAATTTTTTCGAAGACCACAAATTGCACTCGTTCTACGGGCTCGTGCAATTTTGTTAGTCTTTGAAAAAATTTACAACTATTGCCCCCGATGTTTCTCAGCTTGTTACAAGAATATCCAATTGCTATCGACCACATAACTGTCGTACTAATCTTAAACAATTTACAATACTCTACCAATTGAAGGTGAAAAGTTCCTGCAAAGTAGACCCAATGTGTAATGTGTGTAATCCCCCTCCCTCCCTTGCAATCCACCTCTTCGACTTAACAACCAACGGAAACTGAAAGCGTGTCAAGAAAGAATTACGGTCGACGACATTATTGTTAAATTGGCCTCACGAAATAGCTGCAAAACTACCTCTAATGCAACAATAATTTCGTTTAAACCATCAGTAATTGTCATAGTTTTTAAGAAAATATCGAGGTTTTACATCTTTGTGAAAACGGTCGTCGGACAAGGATAGCGTATATATATATACGTTTATATATATGTTTCATTTTTGGTAGCCTTGTATATTAATATAACTAAACCTTGAAATATTCATACAAACTACTCCTAGAAGTGTTAGATATAATAAATTACTTCAGTCAAATAGTTCTCCCCTGGATAACATGAAACAACCTACACATTTACGAGGAGTTCACACATCGTTTGAATTCAATTTGCACTTTATGGTCGTTATTTGAAAGCAACAAGATGGCGAACAAATCAGAAGCGAAAGTTTACTGTAGAACCAGTAATCACGTCTTTTTTCTTAACAATGTTGTCCGTGCACGTTTACAACTTTTGGATCCCACGCAATCATTATGGATGAAATGATCACTGGCAGGCCTTTGTATCTCCACAACGAGAAAAAAATAACTTTTCATGGAAAAATGTCTCAAAGCCTACCTTAAACTTATCTATTAAAACTTGGCGTTTGGTGAAATTTAGCTCCAGATAGAGGTGGTGCTGAGGTTGATCGAAATTTTCCAAACCTAAATCGAGGACTTTGTGTAATGCAGGTAGCCTTTACAGAAAGGAAGTTCTAATTAGCTTGGGCGCAATTTTACTCTTCATACACGCACACACACACACCCATACGTTTATTGTTACTCCCATAAAGGAAAAACTATTTGCGGTTCTAAGTTTTCTAAGTGGAAGAAGAAAAATAGTGAAGACAATCCGTATAAAAGATTTCAACTTTTTAACCAACTCAAATAAACATAGGCATACGTAGCGTACAAGAGTCATTTTTTCGGCTGAGCAGATTAAGATGGGGCACATAAAGGAAAAACTATTTGTCAAACAAATTTTGCGTAATCCTGTTTGATCAGAACGGAGGTCGTTGAAAGTCGATTCGGTTCTAAGTTTTCTGAGTGTGAGAAGAAAAACAGTGAAGACAATGGCCGTTTTTATACTCGATGACGCGTTACCCGTCCAGTCGGATAAAGCGTCTCTTAAGTTATTCGTCTGATGTAAAGACGGGACGAACAACATGACGAATAACAAGAGACAAATAATGAGAGATTTTTGGCGGTAAAATTTAAGATGGCGGCCCTGCTGGAGCTTGTAAAATTGTTTTCCTGTAAAAGAAAAGCTGAAGAAGAGTTTTTAAGTTGCCAATATAAAATGAACGAAGAAATGTTTTCTTCTTTGAATTCTTCGATCGACATACGTTCCTCAAGAACCTTCTTTATCTCCTCGAAAACAGTTTTGTTTGTAGTCTTCGTCAACGCAAATTTGTCCAGTTTGTAACCAAAGTCGTTTTCCTCGTCTGGCAGGACGAAGGTAAAGTACTTCAGCTCTCTTTCTGTCCATGAACGACTTCGCTGTTTCGTACCTGCATCAGCTGCAGCCGCCATGTTGTTATGTTTGGCGTTTAACCGCCAGCGTTTTTGCAACACGGTCTCATTAATTTTTAGCGTTGGCTTTGGCAATCGATCAAAATAGCTTAGATCTTCAAGAGGGAGATAAAAACTGCATCGTTTAGTCGGAAGATACGTTATAAACAATCGACAGGTGACAGTAGAAGAATCGCAAAGTCAAAAGCCAAAGCAATAATTTAGAAGAAAAAGTGCTTTACAGTTCGAGTTTAAGAGAGGTGCTCAATACTGCATAGCAACTTTCCAACTTTACATAATTGTTTTCCAGGTAGCTGCCGCAGTTTATTGTTTACTACTTTTCCTAAACCTGGCTTCCGGTTGGAGAATCACACGCTTCGAACTATTGAAGTTGTTAACGAGGATCTCTGCAGATTCCAATGCTACCTGGAACCTAACTGCGTCAGTTATAATTTCTGTGAGATAAAACAGTTGTCTGGAAAACATGAGTGTGATCTGAATAACGCGACTATTGAACATGATGAAGACCTGGTGAAAAACGAAAGTTACATTTACCGCGGAGCAGAGGTGGGGATGAATTCTATGAGGGAAAAGTAATACTCTTTGTCCGGGAAAGCTCTGATACGAAATCAAGGGATATCCCAACCTCTCCTACTAATTTAAATAACCCTCTCGCAACGGGAATAAATGTAACGCGAACATCCACCAAACCTAGCCCAAAAAATGGGACGGCACGCATGAGACATACGCACACTATTGCAAGTGCGGACGACAAACACACGGGAAGGATTTGTTAGCCTTCCAAAGCATCATTTTAAATTTCTCTATTCCTTTCCTTCCTAAGAATGCTTGTAAGAAAAATCCTTGTAAGAATAACGCAACATGCCAAGCTGGGTTTACAGACAGAAACTATCAGTGTTTGTGCGTTGATGGATCTGGATTTAAAGGCCATAACTGTGATGAGGGTAAGAAATCTTATACTTTTATCAGTATAGCTAATCACATGATTTCGAGTGAAATTTGGGATAAATCAGCACGAGTATATTTTGAAAGGCCAATCAAATAACACGAGCCTGTACGCTCGTAATCTTCTGCGTCTTTCGCACGCAATGTTGCACTGGTTTAACTCCTTAACAATTTTATTCAGGAGGATCGCTGTATACTTTCATAGCCGTTTCTGGAAGCCAGACTTTTGACCAGTTGATTGTCCTTCGTTGGATGCTTTCATTTTTAGCACTCGCCCTAAAACTCTGAATTAAAACATTGTTGCTTTCTCTTCACTTGTCAGCCATTTTGTTTCGTTGTGCTTACGCGACTTACCTGTCAATCAGTTTGATTTTAACTTTCTGCATTGTGTGGGATAAATTGACGTGCTCTCGGCCGATGAGCATGCTGAAATTCTTGCACGTGTTTTATTAAAAAAACATGATGTATTGATAAGTAACAAGTTTCGCACGCTCCTCCCCTAAACTTTATTTCTTTTGGGTGATTGGGCAGACTTATTTGAAAGGGATAAGCACCATACAATCGCTAGCATCTCAATAGCATGAAAGTCTCAGAACATCACAGCAGATAGCCTTGGCTTTGAAGTTTGCGAGAAGAATGATCTAGGATAGCACAAGCCATTCAAAATACAAAAGACGATTTATCTGAATAATTGTGTTGCTGCTCATGGTTCATTTTAGAACCTGGTTCATCGCTTTTTTTTTTTTTTTTTTTTTTTTGCACTGCTTTTACTCCATTAAGTCTCAAGTTTTTCAATCGCGTCTAAAGTTTGAAACAGAAAACAACGGTTTCCGGTTAGCGACATCAATCGACTTCGAGGGGCGCTCTTTTGCTTCTTGTTTTTCTTTCAGGATTTTTTTTTAAAGCCTGGCTTGCATACTTTGCTACCTTCTGCCGCTGAATTTTTCTCAAATTTCATTTCATTGCTTTGCATTTGGTGCATTTCCACCTCTGACTCTAACATTTAGATTTCAGTGGGTCGTAAGTGACTGAGTCAATAACGTAACCTGAAGAAAATGGAAACCTTGGTATTCTTGCGGTCACAGGAGCTGTTTAGGCCGTACTTTAACTCTTATATCTTCTAATGAAGCCAGCCTTTGGTAGCATATTCGGACTCTTTGTTCCAAATAGTTTCTTAGAGAATGGCTGTGTACTAGCGTTCTTTCTAACCGCGGCCCTGAGTAAAAGCAATATTGGCAAAGCCAAAAGTAATTATAACAATTTTTTACTGGTATCATAACTTTTATTTTTACTTAATGTGTTTTACGAAGGATTTACAGCTGTCTTTACAAACCTTGGCAAGAGTGGAACAAAGGGTCCAGACTCAGTTGGCAGTCACTACACAGGTCAGGATCATGACGGACAAGTTACAGTGTCCAACGGTACTCAACTGTGGACTGTGCCATACACTGGTGAATACAGAATAGAAACAATAGGAGCCTCAGGGGGGTACGGTAAGGACACTGTTATCAAGAACGGAGGGAGAGGGGCTCGGATGATTGGAAACTTTATGTTGACCAAAGATGAGATCATTCGTATACTTGTTGGTCAAAAAGGAAAAAGATCGAATTCTCACAAAAATGCTGCCTCAGGCGGAGGAGGTACATTTGTAGTAAGAGGAGACAACAAGCCTTTGATCATAGCCGGAGGTGGAGGAGGAGTTGCTAAAATGACAGAACAACATTCAGGATGTGATGCGTCCATAAACACAACAGGGAATGCAGGGTATAACTCGCCATTCCTGTCAGGAGGAATGAACGGATATGGAGGACAAACTGATAAACCGGACTCTGGTAGGTGAAGAATTTCCTATTTACAACTGCTGAATTTTTTTTGCATCCATCAGTATTTCGAACAAAGAGGTGATACTGGTCGCTCAAATTTGGATTTTTCTTAGAATTACTAAGAGCAATGATCTTTTCAGTAGCTAATGTAAACTTTAAATCGCTTGATTGTAGGCGGTGGCGGAGGCGGCTTTTACAGTAATGGAGAAGACTCAGAGACTTCTGGTGGAGGGGGAAAGGGAGGTAAAGGATTTCTGGCCGGGGGAGAGGGGGGAGCATATCGGGGTGGTTTCGGAGGTGGGGGTGGTTCTCGTTATAAAGATGAGATACCTGGAGGCGGTGGGGGGTACTCCGGGGGAAGTGGAGGTGCGAATAAAGGTATTTCCTGTGGGGGAGGGGGAGGTTCTTTCAACAACGGAACAAATCAGCAAAATGAATGTTGTTATAATACTGCTGGACATGGTAAAGTGATCATAACATTTCTTCACTGAAATGCATGGCAGCACTTTCCTTAGCGTGTAGTGGTAATTCTGTTTTGAAGCGCTAATTGATATTGGTTTTTAAACTCAATTGCTTTTAATTTTTTTGGGTCATTATTTAGATTTTGTTATTAAGCCGTGTTACTGTAAGACAAACAGCGCAACTTGTGGTTCTAGAGGCGTTTATATTTGAGGTTAGAATTAAAATTCACAAACAACATTTGCTAGAATAGGTGAGTTTGTGAATTTTTACTGGACGTACCTTCTCCCCCGGGGAAAGGGATGGGGTAGGGGGAGGGGACGGGGGAAGGAATGGGAAGAATTAAACATGGCTCGTGCGTTCTGAGTTGTATGATGCATGAATATTTAGGTGAAAGAAAACAGTGAACAACAAATTCTCCCACCTCTTTAATCAATCAGATTCTTACACGTTAAAAACATACAATATTAAGGTGAGGCAAGATAATAGTTTGTAATCTCCAGGGTGAGGACAATGTTAGCTACAAATTACTTTGGCCTATAGAATAAAGAAGATACAAATGCCAGGACTGTTTAGACTTTAAATAGCGGGCATGGTGGGAAGTTAGTGATAATTGGTCAAATAATAACATATGGGTAATGAAGACTAAGTAGTAATTTTGTAGAGAAACAGTTGTGAAGTCAGCTCTTCATATTCTTGTGCATTTAATGTCAATGAATACATATTTAACAATGTAAAGGTATGCAGTCAATATTTTTTCTCGATCAGCTCAAAACTAAAATTTATTTTCAATAATGATACAGTCAGTGTGACCCGGCTCCTTTAATTTTTTTGCCCGTTCACCTTCTAAATGTTGCTGCGCATGACACTGACTGTAGGCGATGGCACATTCAAGTTAACGCAAAACCTTATTTACTTGTTGTATTTTTGTTTTTCTTCTTACATCTGGAATGTCTTTTCAGGAGGCTCTCGTGCTCTTCGTCACTTAAAGTGGAGTAAAGCGCTGTAATTTTCACGTAGTTGGAAAGAATGATTCTGCTTAATAATAGTTAGAAATATATTGAGAACATTCTTTGCTGGTGGATGGACTAAAAGCTCCCAATAATTGTCGGTCTATAGTGTAGATTTAGTAACCTCTAGTGAAACTCAATAAATTGATATCTGGCTGTCAGTATTTTCATGTTTGTTAGTTGAACCTAAATTATAAAGTCACATCAACTGAGTGCAAGGTAAATTTGTGAAAGAACGAAAAAAGTATCTATGTATCTTACAGGAAATTTCGTGTATCCCTCAACTTTACTCATCGTTTTTACTCGTCTTTGATGTCTTTCTTCGCAGCACACGAAAACCAGCCTTGACCAGGTCCTTGCAGGGTAATCGAAAATGGTATGATGCATGGATATTTAGGTGATGGAAAACAGTCAACAACAAATTATTTTCTATGACAGCCTTGTATAGCGGGAGATTCCTGACGACGGCTATAAAAAGCGTTGCGAATTGTTTGAGGCCTTCCAACGCAGTTTCTGATTAGACTTCGTGTCGGTTGGACATTATAACAGGGTAATTTGGTATTAACAAGTGAGTTGATAACGTGAATTGGCCACCGTAAAAAGTTTAAAAGTTGACGTCTTGAGCGTTAGCCCTTCGTCAGAGCGAATGGAGGAATTGTGGGTTGTGTGTATTTTTATATGCAGAAAATTGAGCTACTCTATTGGTGGGAATATGGTGACGAGAAAACAAAAATAAATTAGTTGAACGAAAGGCGCTCGTTGATACCGAGGGAATTTAGAGTTTTGCGGCTTTCCGAATTGCCTAGATGGACGGAAAGGCCGCATACTGTCATATGGTGCTCAGAATGATTAGGGAGATTTAATTAAGTTACTTTTTCAAATGTATTGAAATGAATGCGATTTATTTCGTCGTTTTGAAGCTTAGTTTTTAAAAAACCAGCAATTGCAAAACCTCTTTTAATCAGCGCTTGTATTGATCATTTCCACGCGGTTTCCTATTCCGGTTACAGGCCCCCTCGGACATAAGCCCCTCCGTTTCTAAGCCCTTTTAAAACCCCTAAAGAAGTTGTACAGCCCCAGGGTTTATAACCAGTAGTTTACGGTAGAAGGCAATTAACTTCCTGATTTATTCAGACAGAACGCCATTGATACCCGTTCAGTATAATCAAGTTTCACCAACCAACCAGGTCCTAGAGGAACTAATGCAGCCATGACAACTACTAACAACCACATAGATAAACAAAGAAGGCGCCCAATTTGAACGCAGATTAAAATTCAGCTTTCTTAGTTGCCTGATTTTGTCCTTAAAAGTGTAAAACTTACAGTAGCTATTTTGATTATCTTTATTGAGATAACTAAGCCTTGAAATATTCGCACAAGTTTCTCGGCTTCCACTGGAATTAAATATAATATATCATTTCATTTAATATATACCTGGACTGGCACAGGACAACTTACGAATTTCTCAAGAAGTTCATGCGTCTTTGAAGTTATTTTGTAACACAGATTTTGGATACAACAAGTTTACAAACGAACAAATTTTATGAAACGTGGTTTTTTGGAGTAACCAAAAGCGAAATTTTACTTCAGAAATACAAAAATAAAGTCACTTTCTCTACAAAGAAGTCATTGAACGTGTACGAGTCTTTTGACATGTTCGATTATACGATTATATTTTCGTTTTTGTTTAAAGTTGAGAGTCAACTAAAATACCACGACTTGGAGATAAATGAAAAATTTACAAAGCAGTGATGAAATCGTCTTATTCGTCAAAACGAGACAAAATATGCTGTTTTCTCAAAACCTACTGGAAAATTAAAAAGGAAAAAAAACGAAACCGCAGTGGCAGTCCGGCTTTCTGTACAATTTGGCTCTTGAGTTGATGTAAAGGTTGGTTCACAAAATCTGCATAGAGGACTTAATTCGTATGTTCTAGAAAGTTAGTCGAACTAAGGCATGAGTTATCTATGATCCACCGCTGAAACGATGTTCTATCGGAAATTTATTAAACAAATTTTACTCAGTCTTGGTTCATCAGAAAGAAGAATGTTGACTTTCGGTTCTACAAGTAACATGAGACATTTTTTTAGTTAAAAAATATTGCTTTTAAGCTCTTAGATTCTTTTGGATGACATATGACTACATTTAAAATTTTAACATTTGTTGTTCCTGTTACACTCAAGTTGGCAATCTGTAGCGCGCGTAATACTCGAATTAATTGTAGGTCTCGCGCGACATCCCCGCGACATCCCCGCGACAAAATGACACGTTTAGTAGAGGAAATAACGACCCTCGTGAGGCTTCGGTACATACAAATAGGTAAATGGGTATAAAGAGAGGACCTACAAATGATCTTTCTTCTATTCAGGGAATCTTTTGAGCAATGTTGCGTCACGTAATAGAGCGCAATTTTATTTTATCTCATATGGATATAAATATCATTTTATCTCTTATCATTGCACGTTGTTCTTCGTCATTTCTCTCCTTCGCTTTATGATTATGATGGGTTCACAAAGCTTAATTTTCAAGCAATATCAATCGAAATATAAAGATCTAATCTAAGAAGGCAAATGGAAATCAATCCCTCATGACAAAGGAATATCTTAAAGCGTATCCCCTTCCCTCCCCACCCCCCTTGGGCTCTTGAGCCCTCGTGTAACGATGTCTATTATCTTTGAGAACAAAACAAAAAGGAAGTAAAAAGAATTGTGACAATCAAGAACAGTTTATTTGACCAGATCATTAACAATGTTTTTCTTTCCTTGGAAGCTTTTATCTTATTACTTCTTCTCTCTCTTTCATTAGTCTCCACAATGATAATGAATCCATTTACACTGCATCAAGAAAAGTCAACATAAACGTGGTACTTTTGTTATAAAAACTTGCAAGAAATTCGATAAAACCCAAGATATAAAACTATAAAAAAATTGACATGTCACCATCGCCGTGCAGAGCAAACATATTTTAGGGCATCCTGAATCTATGAAAAATAATTCAACACTCGCATGATTTTTGTCTTTTAAATGACAAAAAGAAAAAAAAGAACTTGCTAAATTTGAGAGTAATTCATCAAAATATGAGTCACTACGTTACTGAATTGCAAGAAAGAAAATAACCTCTTGTAATGCAGAAGTTTAGGTGCGGCAAATGTTTCGTTGAAAATCAATCTGACTAAGGTAGTGTAATTTAACCATCAATAATATTGGTAGAGATCTTCATAAAAGTGAGAAATTTGTACTGTGGACCGTAAGGTAGGGGGACCGCTTCTCCTGGATCAGTAATCTCGTTTCCTTGTTAGTCACAGCAGTTTGTCCGAGCTTTTGGGACCACAATCTACCTGGGGGGTGGAGGGCGTAAGGTAAGTCAAACACGTACGAACTTGTACGAATGACACTTGATTACATGAAAAATTAGCTTCACCTCACAGTCAAAGAATAAGAAATAAATCTAAGAATAAAAAACAAACTATCCGTTAGCCGCCAACCCCAAAATTTCGGAACATCAACTTGTTGTGGTAAAACGGAAGTCTTTATTTTACGCTCAAGTGTGGGCGAACAAGGAATACGCGTAAACAGTTGGTGAAGTGCGGTGGCCCACAACTGTCACGGCAAAAGAAATAACCTCGCGGCAAAAGAAATAACAATGTCCTCACGGCATAAAAGAGGGCGTGGGGTCCGGGACGAGCTGTCGAGGTGCACCATGGGATAAGAAAATGCAGTAAAGGGGTCAGCGGCTGATCATCACTTCCCGCCATTTCTCTCGCCGTGAGTCTCTTTCTTTTGCCCCGAGGTTCTTTTGCCGTGACAGTTGGGAGCCACCTTAGTAAAGAGTATTATTAACTTCCTCATACGTCGCGCTCATACAGATATAATTAAGCTAGAATAAAACAACACATGAAGGACATCTTCCTCTATTTTTATTAAAATTACAGGCCATTGACATGCATTAAGTATAATTGAGTTTTACCAATCAACTGGTTCGCAGGGAAACTAATTCAGTTTTGAACCTCATAATCAGACATAGGATGTGATGTATTTGAACCAAAATAAAACTGCAGCTGTCTCATTTCGCTAAATGTTTATCTTAAGGAGGAAAAACTCACTCTAGCTGTTCGCTTGAATTATAACGGGTGTTTTTTTCTGAGAACATGCTGTCTGTTTTCTACTGTTTCGTTCTCACCGTTTTGGCTTCCCTAATACCAGAAGTACGAGGTAAGATTTTGCTATACCCAATTCACACCAATGCTTAAACATGTTTTAAAGCTGTTTTGTTAAACATGGTTGGAAATTGTCTTCTTAGCAGCTGCTTAAACCGATGTTTTTCAACTTCAAATTTAGCAGAGTTAAAATATAAATAAAGTGACTTGAAACCTATAGAAAATTCAGTTATTCACATATCTGTTTTAATTCAACCCGGTTGATGTTGTGAATGGGGTATTATTTGTTGTCAAAGAACTATTTCAAAGTTTTCTTTATCATCATATGATTTTTTTGTTATCTTTATCTACATAACTAAGCCTTGAAATATTGACATAAGCATCTCCTACTAGTACTAAAGACAATAACAATTTTATTCATCTACATACCCGGAGTGGCATGAGACAACCAAATATTTTAAAGAAAGTTTCATTTCGTGTTGCAATACTTTTTAAAAATTACAAAATTGAAAGAAATAAAATTTTAGGGAACATGGTTTCTGGGCTGAGCCAAAAGGGAAGGTTTATTTTGAATAAACAGTCACTGTCTCTGCAATGATGTCCGTGAACCGCGTTTAATTTTCGACTTTTTGATCCTACACGATGGATAAAATGACTACTGGCAGACCTGTTTGGCTGTTTGGCTTCAAAGTTCATATAAAGGCTGGTTCCATTTTTCATAAAACGTAAGTCGAGGGGTTCATGTACTCCAGTGCGCGGGCAGAGGAAAGGATTAAGTTATTACCGATCCACCGCAGAAAGAAAGTTTAAAATTAGCTTGCGGAATAATTTCACTTCACCCAACCAAAACAGGTGATTTCGACAGAAAAATCTGCTAAATAAACTTTACGCGGTCTTGCGTGATCGTAACGGAGACTGATGGCAGTGATCGAGTCATTGAACTCCTTAAGATATTTTAGGTTCAAAAATATACTTTCAGCCTTTATAGTGCACGATCCAGTGCGAATGTGCGATCATGAAGATTCCCCGCATGAAAATTCCCCACATTTACTTTAACGATCTGACCACTACTGTTTTTCTCTTTTGGTTGATTGAATTTATTAAGGAGCGAAAACTTGAAGAGGCACCCAAAGGAAAGTTGTTTGCAACTAGTTAGAAGCTTTTTGAAATGGTAAAATTACTAAAAACAAGCTGGGCGATATTTATTTTCCTTTTCTTTCATAACATTACCAGAAATTCGAGTAATGGATCATATTTTAAGCCGAACAGCTTTTATAATTAAATGTTGCGGAGCACTGTACGGCGTTTAAAAAAATTCTTAAATACTTAAGCTTTGCGGGAAGATAATCATCTTCCCATGCTCTTAGAAGTTAGAAAACAATCACTAAAACGGTTTTAGTTTTGAGATTTTCGAAAATAAAATGTCAGACAAATTTTCATAGCCAAAAAAACCTCAAAACAGACTCATTGACCTATTGTTTATCAGAGCAAAGTAGTACGTGTGGTGTCCCCCAAGTCTCTATTTCAGGTCCTTTGTTATATACTATATATATGATCTTCCTTATGCATCTAAATTAATACAGCCTCTGCTTTTTGATGATGACACCAGCACCTTTTATTCTCACTCAGATCCCGATTATTTAGAGTCCGTTCTCAATGATGAAGTGTGAAATCTTGACATTTGGATGAAATGCAATAAGCTTTCAGCAGATTTTAAGAAAACAGGTTACATTGTTTTTAAATTGAGGCAGAAGAAACTTGGTAAATCTTTTTCCCTATCCTTTGGAAATCAGACATTGAAACAAGTAAATAAACAAAACTCTTAGGTGTTTATATTGATGAGCATTTAACAAGGAAACCTCACATAAGCTTCGTAGCTAAACAAATCCCTAGTCAGCCGGCTGAGCAGATTAAGATGGAGCACTTTGTGTCGATTCGGTTCTAAGTTTTCTGAGTGTGAGAAGAAAAACAGTGAAGACAATGGCCGTTTTTAACTCGTGAATTGCGTGCATGCGCAAGAGCGAGTTATAGATACCATGTGGGGAATGGCATTCGCTCGCTCGCTCGATTGGTCGATTCCTGTAAACTTTTTTTAGATTTTAGGCTTTTGAGTGCATTTGATAGTTTTTAGCGAACAGTAAACAGAAGAAATGGCGACCTTTGTTGTTAAGAATAGTGGTGGGGTGAAAAAGAAGCCAATGATAATCTTAAAAGAGTTTTTTTTTTCGTTTTAGTTTCAACGAGCGGCGCCAGCGACTGGCAGGCATGCAAGGATTCACACTGAAATAACAGAACAACCTTCGTTTTTCATAAAATTGTAATTTACAATCCTTGAACTCGAAAACAATCCGAAGATTCATTGAAAATATTACTTACTGCGAAGCACTCGGAGTTTACAGATGTTCAAAAGCTTTTTCTGTTATGGCGTGAGATTGAGGACAAAATTGATCATTACGTTTCGTCGCGTGTGTTTTTCCTGTGTGAAGCAACAGAAGATGCCGGCGACTGACGAAATTACAAGTTAACACGAAAATCAGATAACACCTAAACAAACAATTTTAGCTACCGATTTTCAGTAAATTTTTAAAGAACAATTTTCTTTTAAGTTTCAAGACAATTTGAAGATTCAACATACATACAACGTACTAAAATGCGAAAGTTACACACCACAAAATTGATAAATAGGCCTGAAATGAAATTCTATCTTGTTATTGATTATACGTTGCCTAGCACGTGACTTAAATCTACCCAGGCGGAGATCCAAAATGACGGTGGCAGGCTTGGCTTAGTTATATCACTCAAAACTCGTTCCAGTTTGTCTGATTTGATAAAGAGGGAATCGTTAATGTTTTCATTAAGACAGTATTGCCTTGATTTTCTAATATTTACAATGAAAGACAGTAAATTTCACTTTTCACCCACATTTACTTCCAACCTTTTCTTTTGAACCAGAAACAAAAATGATAGACGTTTAAAACACATGACATCATCCACCTTGTCAAATGTAATAGCATGATCATTTCAATTGTAATGCCTTCTTATCCCAACGTTACTTTGTTTCTTTGCTACATTAGCGAATACTGAACTACTGCTCGTACTCTAGATATGACAATCAACCACCAAATTTCCTAAACCAGATAACATTAAACATCATGTGTCAAAATCATGTGTCAATTCACGAGTTTGCTCACAGAGCACTTTGATTATACTAGATGACGCGTTACCCGTCCAGTCGGATAATGCGTCTCTCAAGTTATTCGTCTGGTGTAAAGACGGGACGAACAACATAACGAGCAACAAGAGACGAATAATGAGAGTTTTTTTGGCGGTAAGTTTCAAGATGGCGGCCCTGCTGGAGCTTGTAAAATTGTTTTCCTGTAAAAGAAAAGCTGAAGAAGAGTTTTTAAGTTGCCAATATAAAATGAACGAAGAAATGTGTTCTTCTTTGAATTCTTCGATCGACATACTTTCCTCAAGAATTTTCTTTATCTCCTCGAAAACAGTTTTGTTTGTAGTCTTCTTCAACGCAAGTGTGTCCAGTTTGTAACCAAAGTCGTTTTCCTCGTCTGGCAGGACGAAGGCAAAGTACTTCAGCTCTCTTTCTGTCCATGAACGACTTCGCTGTTTCGTACCTGCATCAGCTGCAGCCGCCATGTTGTTATGTTTGGCGTTTAACCGCCAGCGTTTTTGTAACACGGTCTCATTAATTTTTAGCTTTGGCTTTGGCAATCGATCAAAATAGATGAGATCATCAAGAGGGAGATAAAAACTGCATCGATCAGTCGGGAGATACGTTATAAACATTCGACTGGTTTCAATAGAATAATCGCAAAGCCAAAAGCCAAAGCAATAATTCAGAAGAAATAGTGCTTTGCAGTTCGAGTTTAAGAGAGGTTCTCAATACTGCATAGCAACTTTCCAACTTTACATAATTGTTTCCAGGTAGCTGCCGCAGTTTATTGTTTACTACTTTTCCTAAACCTGGCTTCCGGTTGGAGAATCACACGCTTCGAACTATTGAAGTTGTTAACGAGGATCTCTGCAGATTCCAATGCTACCTGGAACCTAACTGCGTCAGTTATAACTTCTGTGAGATAAAACAGTTGTCTGGAAAACATGAGTGTGATCTGAATAACGCGACTATTGAACATGATGAAGACCTGGTGAAAAACGAAAGTTACATTTACCGCGGAGCAGAGGTGAGGATGAATTCTATGAGGGAAAAGTAATACTCTTTGTCCGAGAAAGCTCTGATACGAAATCAAGGGATATCCCCACCTCTCCTACTAATTTAAATAACCCTCTTGCACCGGGAATAAATGTAACGCGAACATCCACGTATATCACCAACAACCTTGCGTGGAAAGAGCGCAACAAAAGCACTCGCGAACAACAAATTAAGAGTACACTCGAGGACCACGAATGTGGACGGGTGGAATCAAGAAACCTCAAAACCTAGCCCAAAAAAACATAGCAAAAACACCATACAAAAACATACATGAGACATACGCACACTATTGCAAGTGCGGACGACAAACACACGGGAAGGATTTGTTAGCCTGCCAAAGCATCATTTTAAATTTCTCTATTCCTTTCCTTCCTAAGAATGCTTGTAAGAAAAATCCTTGTAAGAATAACGCAACATGCCAAGCTGGGTTTACAGACAGAAACTATCAGTGTTTGTGCGTTGATGGATCTGGATTTAAAGGCCATAACTGTAATGAGGGTAAGGAATCTTATACTTTATCAGTATAGCTAATCACATGATTTCGAGTGAAATTTGGGATAAATCAACACGAGTATATTTTTAAAGGCCAGCCAAATTACACGAGCCCGTACGCTCGTAATCTTCTGCGTCTTTCGCACGAATTGTTGCGCTGGTTTAACTCCTGGATAATTTTATTCAGGGGGATCGCTGTATACTTTCAGAGTCGTTTCTGGAAGCCAGACTTTTCAACAGTTGATTGTCTTTCGTTGGATGTTTTTATTTTTAGCATTCGCCCTAAAACTCTGAATTAAAACATTGTTGCTTTCTCCTCACCCATCAGCCATTTTGTTTCGTTGTGCTTACGCGACTTACCTGTCAATCAGTTTGATTTTAACTTTGTGCACTGTTTGGGATAAATTGACGTGCTCTCGGCCAACGAGCATGCTGAAATTCTTGCATGTGCTTTAATAAAGAACACGATGTACTGATAAGTAACAAGTTTCGCACGCTCCTCCCCTAAACTTTATTTCTTTTAAGTGATTGGGCAGACTTATTTGAAAGGGATAAGCACCATACAATCACTAACATCTCAATAGTGTGAAAGTCTCAGAACATCACAGCAGATAGCCTTGGCTTTGAAGTTTGCAAGAAGAATGATCTAGGATAGCACAAGCTATTTAAAGTACAAAAGACGATTTATCTGAATAACTGTATTGCTACTCATGATTCATTTTAGAACCTGGTTCACCGCTTTTTTTTTATCTGCATTGCTTTTACCGCATTAAGTCTCAATTTTTTCAATCGTGTCTAAAGTTTGAAACAGAAAAACAACGGTTTCCGGTCAGCGACATCATTCGACTTCGAGGGGCGCTCTTTCGCTTCTTGTTTTTCTTTCAGGATTTTTTTAAAATCCTGGCTTGCATACTTTGCCACCTTCTCTCAAGAATTATTCATTTTAAGTATGCCGCTAAAGTTTTCTCAAATTCCATTTCAACCAATAGTCAAACTGTATCAATTTTCGCTCCGTCAACATTACCGCTACGGTTCTTCAGTTCTCTCATCCTCCCAACACCTTAAAAAAGTGCCCCGTGGCCTGAAATTGTGCTTTGCATTTGGTGCATGTCCACCTCTGACTCTGACATTTTGGATTTCAGTGGGTCGTAAGTGACTGAGTCAATAACGTAACCTGAAGGAAATGGAAACCTTGGTATTCTTGCGGTTACAGGAGACGTTTGAGCTGTATTTTAACTCTTCTATCTTCTAATGAAACCAGCTTTTGGTAGCATATTTGGACTTAAATGTCCAAATAGTTTTTAAAGAATGGCTGTTTATCAGCGTTCTTTTCAACTGCGGCCCTGAGTAAAAGTAGTATTGGCAAAGCCAAAAGTAATTGTAACAATTTCTTACCAGCATCATAACTTTTATTTTTACTGTATGTGTTTTATGAAGGATTTACAGCTGTTTTTACAAATCTTGGTAAGAATGGAACAAAGGGTCCGGACTCAGTTGGCAGTCACTACACAGGTCAGGATCATGACGGACAAGTTACAGTGTCCAGCGGTATTCAACTGTGGACTGTGCCGCACACTGGTGAATACAGAATAGAAACAATAGGAGCCTCAGGGGGGTACAGTGAGGATAGTGTCATCAACGGAGGAAGAGGGGCGCAGATGATTGGAAACTTTATGTTGACCAAAGATGAGATCATTCACATACTTATTGGTCAAAGAGGGGAAAGACCGAAGCCGAATTCAAACAAAAAGACTGGCTCAGGCGGAGGAGGTACATTTGTGGTGAGAAAAAACAACAAGCCTTTAATCATAGCCGGAGGTGGAGGAGGAGTCGCTAAAATGACAGAACAACATTCAGGATGTGATGCGTCCGTAAACACAACAGGGAATGCAGGGTATAACTCGCCATTCCTGTCAGCAGGAATGAACGGATATGGAGGACAAACTGATAAACCGCACTCTGGTGGGTGAAGAATTTCCTATTTATAAATACTGAATTATATTTTTTTGCATTCTACTGCCATCCATCAGTATTTCGAACAAAGAGGTGGTGCTTGTTGCTCAATTTTTTTTTTTCAGAATTACTAAAAGCCATGATCTGTTAAGTTGCTTATGTCAACTGTAAATCTCTTGATTGTAGGAGGTGGTGGTGGAGGCTTTTACAGTAATGGAGAAGACGCAAAGATTTCTTTTGGAAAGGGTGAAGGGGAGGTAGAGGATTTCTGGCCGGAGGAGAGGGCGGAACACATCAGGGTGGTTTCGGAGGCGGGGGTGGTTATCGTTTAGTTCATGAAATACCTGGGGGAGGTGGAGGGTACTCCGGGGGAAGTGGATGGTACTCCGGGGGAAGTGGAGGTGCGAATAAAGATCTTTCCTGTGGGGGAGGGGGAGGTTCTTTCAACAACGGAACAAATCAGCAAAATGAATGTTGTTATAATACTGCTGGACATGGTAAAGTGATCATAACATTTCTCCATTGAAATGTATGGCAGCACTTTCCTTAGCGTGTAGTGGTAATTCTGTTTTGAAGTGCTAATTGATGTTTGTTTTTGAACTCAATAGTTTAATTTTTTTAGGTCATTATTTAGATTTTGTTATTGAGCCTTGTTACTGTAATACAAACAGTGCAACATATGGTACTAAAGGCGTTCACATTTGAGGTTAGAATTAAAATTCACAAACAACATTTGCTAGAATAGGTGAGTTTATGAATTTGTACTGACCTCACCTTCTCCCGTGGGGGGAGGGATGGGGTAAGGGAGGGGGGAAGAAGGGAAGGGACGAAGGGAAGGAATGGGGAGAATTAAACATGGCTCGTACGTTCTGAGTTGTACGATGCATGAATATTTAGGTGATAGAAAACAGTGAACAAAAATTTTCTCACCTCTTTATTCACTCAAATTCTTACGCGTTAAAAGCATACAATACTAGGGCGAGACACGTTAATACTTTATAATCTCCTGGGTGAGGACCATGTTAGCCACAAATTACTTTCGCTTATAGAATAAAGAAGATACAAATGCTAAGACTGTTTAGACTTTAAATGGCGGGCATGGTGGGAAGATAGTGATAATTGGTCAAGTAATAACTTATGGGTAATAAGGACTAACTAATAATTTTGTAGATAAACAATTGTGAAGTCAGCTCTCCATGTTCTTGTGTATCCAATTTAAATGAATACACATTTAACAATGTAAAGGTTCATTATGCAGTTAATCTATTTTTTTCTTGATGAGCTCAAAACTAAAATTGATTCTCACTTATGATGGCTTCTTTAATTTTTTTGCCCGTTCACCTTCTAAATTTTGCCACACGTAACACTGATTGTAGGTGATGGCACATTCAAGTTAACGCAAAACCTTATTTACTTGTTATATTCTGTTTTTCTGCTAACATCTGGAATGTCTTTTCGGGAGGCCCTCGTGCTCTTTCACTCAAAGTGGAGTAATGCACTGTAATTTTCACGGAGTTGGAAAGAAGGTTTCTGCTTAATAATAGTTAGAAATATATTGAGAACATTCTTTTCTGGTGGATTGACTAAAGGTTCCCAAGAATTGTTTCTATGAGTTACAGAAAAGAGCAATCACTTTCCCCTACATTGTCGGTCCATAATGTAGATTTTGTAAATTCTAGTGATACTCAATAAATTGATGTCTGGCTGTCAGTATTTTCTTCATGTGTGTTAGTTAAACCTAAATTATAAAGTCACATCAACTGAAAGCAAGGCAAATTTGTGAAAAAACGAAAAAATTTCCGTGTATCTGACAGGAAAGTTCGTGGATCCCCCAATTTTACTTATCGTTTTTACTCGTCTTTGATGTTTTTTCGCAGCACCCGAAGACCAGCCTTAATTGAAGGTCTTTGTAGGGTAATCGAAAATTGTATGATGCATGGATATTTAGGTGATGGAAAACAGTGAACAACAAACTATTTCTGTGACTATAAAAAGCGATACGAACTATTTGAGGATTTCCAACGCAGTTTCTGATTGGACTTCTGATTTGAATAATTCACGCTCATTTAACTGTAAAACAGAAAAATACGTCCAATTATAAGCCCCTTCCCCCCCACCCCCCCCTCCCCTCAGATGTAAGCTCTCTTCAAGCTTTTCCTGTTTTAATAGATAGGAACTCTGAGCAGTTGGAAAAGTCATGGCACGTGGAGCAATAGGTTTATTACTTCCTTTTGATTATCAAAGATGAACCTTCGTTTTGTTATGTTTCAGTTCTGTTCGTGTTGTTCGAGTTGCTAGATCAGGATTAAAAAAACTCCTCATCATCGGGCTACATCAGTTGAGTTTCTGCTGACAGTGAGTTCCAGTATTCGCTGACTGGCCTTGGCCTGAAGATCATTAAAAACAGGTGCTCGACAAGCTTGCACAAATCAAGTGTTCACATCATTCCTCATGACTCTGTTGCGTTACTCTAAAAATCTACAAGTAACACAACCATCGATTCCTTTTCAATTTGGCTTCAATCCGCAAGGAGACTCAAGGCGCCTCTGGTACTCCAAAAACATTGGCGGTACTTGGACGCTCGATGTTTTACTTACAAGTAGATCAAGCCTCAATTAGACTCAAAACTTCAAGATGAAGGCAAAAAGAGCCGTTCAGCGCGCGTCACGGAATAGAGCATAATTTTTTTATCTCGTGTAGAGCGATTGAGTGCAATCAGAGTGTGTAAGCTTTGTGATCCAGTTAGGTGTCAAGTGTAGAGGGACGGAATAGGAACAGAGCCAGCTTTATGATCATGTGTGAGGTGACTGAGTGGAAACATAATGCAACTTTTGTGTTTATTTAAAGAGCAATCGAGTGTCAACGAAATAGAAGCCTTTTAATTAAGTTTGAATTGATAGAATGATCACAGAGCATAAGTTTTGTGAATCAATTAGTTCAGCGAAAAGTAAACGATGAATTAATACGAACAAAAACATAAGATTAGTAATAAAGTCTAGACTTACTGAGCATCAAAAGAGCATGAGCCTTGTGATCACACAAAGAGCGATACTACATTTTGTAAAGAACGTGCTACCGGTAA